CCCTTCAAAGACTACTAAGTTTCAAATTCTATACTTGTGTCTGCACGTAAAAACAATACCTTTTGTTCCAAAAAAGGTCTACTAGACTTAGACAAGTGATATAAAATATATAAAATCGTTTCCCCGAACTTCTACTTAAGTTCTAACAAAACAAGTGTGGTAATTCTATTTACCGTACGAACCCGAACTCGAAGAACCGAGCACGTACCTGTGGTGATAAGTGTTAAGGTGTTTGTGTGAGTGTGTGTTGTTTAGGTGTTCACGCATCTTGTCAGCGCGTCTGATTGCACTATTCTCACTCCCGCGTGACACGGTCTTCTCACCGGTTAAACGGTCACGTGCGTTACGTAGCCTTGTAACCACGTCTATTACCTTTAATTGGGTTTTTAGTTCATCAAAAACGGTTAAGAACTGAGAAAGATATAACTAAATCCATTTTGGCACAAATACTTGTTTGTGCAACTTGTACCAGAATGACTTTAATTCTAACTCACTCAAACTTTCATCATTTTGCTTGATTCAATTTTTGGATATTGACATTTTAAGTATGAAAATATACTCACCATCTATCAATATATGGTATGCATCAAATAATTTACAGTTGTCGCATTACATTTTGCCCAAGTCTTTAGGAGATGTAATTCGGTTTCAGTCATAGCTATGTCAAACCTTCATTAAAGTTCTTAAGAATTGGTAGAATGATGGGTATTTATATGTTATACTATGATATGTAACCAGTTTATTTTTTATAGTAATAATAATTGAGATACAAATGGTTTATATTGGTATGACAAATTTTATGCAAAAAGACCGGTCTGAATCAGTTTGAACGCGGTCCATGGACCACAAAAGACCGGTCCTAGGTGGTCCGGTTCGGTTCCCTCAATATCTGGGTCGGTCCTAGACCGGTTGCGGTCTGCAGTTGCCTGTTTTCGGGGCAAAAAACCGGACTGAACTGGACCTGTGAACACTAGGTGTAGACCTCAAGAACAAGAGCTCAAACAGGCATATCGGCAAGGTGATGCTACCACTCTCAACATCTACACCGCCGGATTCAACAGGACGAACCCCTCACTGGGATACGGCTCCATGCCCTCCAAGTACTTCAAGGACCCAATCAGTGACGGTGTCATTGTCCGGTACTCCACCTTCCCTGGCGGTGAGCGCAAGAACTACAACCTCAGCCAAACGACGGTGCATGAGGTTGGACATTGGTTTGGGCTTTACCACACGTTCAAAGGGGATGGGTGTGATGGGGTTGGGGACAACATCACGGACACGGCCCCGGAAGCTTCAGGTGCAGAAGGGTGCCCTGTTGGCAGAAATACTTGCCTGGGAGGTCCACCGGATCCTATCCATATGTCGTGTTTGATTCCTCTTGGCTACTGAAAACTCTCTTATGGTCTTGACAGACAACTATATGGACTACTCTTTTGATTCATGTATGAGGGAGTTCACGAAAGGTCAAGTGGTCAGGATGCACGAAGCCATACGAGCCTTCAGATCCCCACGGAATGATACAACCATGGCATCATCTGCCTCATCCTCCACCCCCAGCGCAACCCCAACCAAAGGGTCATCACCAGCAAAGGGCACAGTCTCCCCTGTTGTCGGTCCTCCAAAATCTGGATCTGAGGCAGTGGCCAAGAAGGCTGTTATCAAGGTAACTTACACCCCTGCAGCATCGAAAGCAACCCCAGCAGTGGCAAGGAACTATAGCGCTGGATCTGTCATGCCAACACCATCAGCGCCGACACCAGTAAGCGAAGATGCGGAGTACGAGGGGGGAGCCTGAATCTTAATGTCTGAACAATTTGCTGTAACTTGCAACGATTACACTTCAATCTATGCTTTGCTCTCCAAGTCGACGCTTATTGATGAGCAGACATCTGTTATCACCACAAGTTTTATTGCGCAGCAAAGCATGGGGTAGTGGCCTCCCAAGGCTCCAACTCAACACGATGTAAGTATTGTTACAATACCACTTTGTGAAAATACAACGGAGTATTGGTGCGGAGACTCGTTCCTGCAAGTGAAATGTTACTGAACGAATTAACACAATGATTCGAGCCGCGCCCATCCATGCACAATCCACTCTCTGTCAACTGTCCCCGAAGAGACGCCTCCAAAGAGGAGCCAAAATCACCAAGAATAGTACTCGCGTCTTTGAAATCTCTACATCGATGTCATCCCAAAATCAGACGGATGAACGTAATTTCTCACCTCTGTCCGAAAAGCGTGTAGGCACCACCGAAGACGGGGTGTGGAAATTAAGGGTATCGGCAAACACGTTTTTTTGACTTTATGGTTCCACATAGATACTAGTCCCGTCAGTGCCTGCAGAGGCAAAGGTGTTGTACCTGTGAGCAGGAA